TGGATCCCATCAAAAACATTAAAGAGATTATTTCTCTTTTTTTAGCAGACAGAGAAAAACTGCCAAGTTTTTGCTTAGAGCACTGCACGAAACCATATGACGGAAAGCTGAACGTAACATCAGGATGTGTTCTCTGCTAAAGCTAAAAGCTTCTAAACTTTGCTGCCTGTGCATTTGCCCAGACTGGCTGAGAAAGCCAAACACCTCACGTCATTACATCCCTTCACAGAGCAGGAAGATGCTCTCTTTCCTTCTGATAGCTCCACAAAGAGCCCCCACCCATTCCCTGGCCCTTCCTGCCCCTCTTCTCACTGCTCATGTTGATCAGGTCCTCGCACAGGCTCTTGACTGTCCTTGTTCCTCTTTGTACCACATCTCTGCCCTATCCCTGCTCATGGCCTTGTATCTGATAAACCCTCTCATGGGAAGTGGGACTCTAACCTGCATGGCTCACCTCTGTCTGTGCCAAGGACCTTTTAGGTATCAGGCTAATTGAACCAGAGGGATTTTCTCTATTAATACTCCAGGAGTCTCTTTTCCAATCTCTGGACTAGTATTCAGAGATTTCCTGGTGCCAGAAGCATATGTAATGTTTCACCAGATCGGACTCAAGAGCTGCCAGCTCACATAATTGATCTTTAGAATTTGGTCGTTCTGATTATTATCACAGAATCACAGAGTGGTTGAGGTTGGAAGGGACCTCTAGTGATCATCTAGCCCAAGCTCTCCCTGCTCCAGCAGGGTCACCTAGAGCACAGGGCACAGGGCGGCATCCAGGCGGGTTTGAAGATCTCCAGAGAAGGAGACTCCACAGCCTCTCTGGGCAGCCTGTTCCAGGGCTCTGTCACCCTCACAGGAAAGTTCTTCCTCACACGGAGATGGAACTTCCTGTGTTTCAACTCATACCCATCACCCCTTGTCCTGTCACTGACCACCACCAAGGAGAGTTTGGCCCCATCCTCCCTACATTCTTTTTCTTCTATTACTCTTTTTAGAAAATCTTGCATTTCCCTGTGTACTTAGATGTTGACAATATATTCAACTACTGCTAATTCAAAATCTCAGTAAACCAATGCTATGTTTCTCATGAAGACTTACACAGGACATGATGGGCAGTTTCTGAGAGGCTGTATGACACAGCATTAGAAATTTGGGTTTCTAATCTGCTCTGAGAGTCTGTATATCAAGATCAACAGGGGTTATGAACTCCTGTCCCTGCTGTATTCTTACAGGCTATCAAGTATTGCAAAAGACAGACAGAACTTTGCAGTCATCTTTATTTTAATTTGACTTTTCCCTCTGGAATTAAAAAAGTCTATTAATACCATTTCTGATTTCTCAGTCCAGCAGTTCAGCTTTGTTATTGATCCCTAATTGGATACATCAAGCCTAAGACCATCAAAATTAGTGCATCAGACAAAGAACATGAAATAATGTTAGTGTTAACAATAAATAATGTTAGATAGTGCCAGTATGCTATTTTTAGAGAGAATTTCACAAAATAGCTAAAAGGAGCCAGACGCATGTCTGACATTGAGAGTGCACTGCAGATAATTGGAATGTAATACATCAAAAAAGAAGGCCTTTTTTAATGTAGTGTCTGCTTTTTAATTGCAAGGGTGGAATTACAGACATCCAGGTGATTCTTTTGGACTTTTACCTTTATAAGACTTGCATTTCAAGTCTGAGAAACGTTCTGGATCTGAATTTTCCTCACTATACCCCTCTTCCTTCCTAATTGTCCTCCACTTGTCTCCTATCCCTGCAGACAGTTCCTTTTAAACACTGTGGAATCATTAACATTTTCCAATTAAACAGTCCAAAGAAGAATATAATCCTTTAACTGTCTTTTAAAAACCTAAATTAAATTTCTCCATGTTACTGGGTGAGGGGTTATTTATTCCTTTTGATGGTATCTTCCAGGTGATAGATGAAAATGATGTGTGTTGAAATGGGTTGGCTTGCTGCAATTGTCTTGTGGTGGTACCAATGCAGGAAATCTCTGAATTACTTAATCTGCTGAAAGAGGGGGAAAATTCTATAGATTAGCCTAGTTTATGCTATTGCCTAAAATAAAATTCAAAAACAACAGTTCAAAGATAAATAGATATAATCAAAGCCTCCCAACTCTACAGCCTGTGTGCATTAATATGAAAGATTGTTTTTATTTGTGGAAGAGAGGACAGGAAAACTATTGAAAATTATTCTAATAATTAAGTCCTTGACTATTCATGCATAATCCAGTCAATTTAAATCACATGATTTTTATTATCATGACATGTCTTCATATTTGTCATTTGGGTAACACTGTAAATCTAAGCATTTCCTCCAAATTGACTAAAAATGCCCTCTGCTAAGTAGTTGACAATATAATTTGGACAGATGTTTAGGAAGTAGCATATGGTTAATGAAAAATAATAAAATGCAACTCAGTAGTGGAAAATTTCTTATAAAAAATATTTTGAAGAAAAAGAATGGAATAGAGTTATAAATGGCATTTAGATGGTGTTTCATATGGAACGGCACATCTACACCCTATTATATAGTATTTGAAAAGTAATTGCACTCTAAGGTTTGCGTTGTTCTTGATTAAAGTCACATCTTCTGACTGCTTTGAGAGCAGTGTGCACAACTGGATTAAGCTGGATAAGATCACATACTAACCTGCAGAGGAAGGTATAATTTGTGGTGAAAATGGAGGGATCTCAGATCAGATGTTGAAGGAAATAAAGCTTAAAATTAACTGCTAAAAAGCCAGCAAAGGAAGAGAAAATGAGAGTTTGAGAACAGGACTTGAAGACCATGATTAAAAATAAGTGACAGAGAAGGAAGGAAAGTAAAGAACAGAAGTGAAGAGAAAACAAAAATGCTATTTCTAGTAGGAAATGAGGGTAAATGGATTATTGTAGCAATGTGAACTGAACTTTTTGTCTGTTTCACATGTGCGACTGTGGCATTTGTTGTGCAGTGGGCAAGTCTCATGGATGATCATAAAACCGGCAGTACAAGCATTTCCTTGCAAGATACAAAACAAAAAGTTTAAGCCTGACCTGTACATTCTTTGGAGTTGGTCGCTAAAGTCCTTCAAATGTCTTTGACTGTGAAAACACACACACACCCACGCATTCGTATATATATTGATACGGAAGTTCATAGAGATACACACGCAGAGAAAAAGAATGAAAGGGACCGTATACTATGTACATGTATATATCTAGCCTAAGAGTCACAGAATCATAGAACACTTAAGGTTGGAAGGGACCTCTAGAGGTCATCTAGTCCAACCCCCTGCACATGCAGGGACACCTAGAGCACGTGGCACAGGACTGCATCCAAGCGGGTTTGGAAGATCTCCAGAGAAGGAGACTCCACAACCTCTCTGGGTAGCCTGTCCCAGTGCTCTGTCACCCTCACTGTTAAGAATTTTTTCCTTAAGTTCCTGTGGAACTTTTGGTGCTTCAGTTTGTGGCCATTACGTCTAGTCCTGTCTGTGGTCACCACTGAAAAGAGACCAGCACCATCTTATTCACTCCCTCCCTTGAGGTACTCATAGACACTGATCAGATCCTCTCTCAGCCTTCTCTTCTCCAGGCTGAACAGGCCCAGCTCCCTCAGTCTCTCCTCATAGGGCAGATGTTCCAGGCCCCTGATCATCCTTGTGGCCCTGCGCTGGACTCCCTCCAGCAGCTCCACATCCCGTAGCAGCACTTAAATTCTTTGGTTTGTCTATGAAAGTACAGGAATGTGAGTGGGAGTAAAAGGAAATGTATAATTTGATAATAAGCTTGATGCCACTGAGATTTTCGCCAACTACGACTAACGGTGCCTTCCGAGCGCTCATGTTCCGGAGGAGAGGGATGGAGTAAAGGGAGGCCGCAGGGCGCTGCGTGGAGCGGTTCGCGCGGCGAGCAGGGGTGGGGCTCCAGGCTGTGGCGCCGAGGCCAGCGCCGAGCTGCTCGCACAGCCGCTGTTGCTACGCTACAAGTTTCAAGTATTTCTTTATTGTTTTCTTTTTTTCTTTTTGTCATTTCTTTCTTCTCCCTGCCCTTAGCCCCTCTTTTGCCTCTTGCTCTGGCTGAGACTAGAGGAGCTGGAGAGAAGTGGTGCTGGTGAGGGGCTGGTTGGACCCCCTTCATGGGGTCGGCTTTGCCTCTGGGTCAGGGAGTTGCTAATGGGGCATACGAATACTCAAAGGAACGTGTCTCATTGCCATGGCAAGCCAGATTTCGTCATACGAGCTGGGTGCATTCATGTCAGGGAAGCGGCTTTCAATTTTAATGTACCCTAAACTTTCTTTCTCTCCTACGCCCTGCCTGTCTGCTTGGAAAGTTGTACTCCAGGCTGCTCACAATGCAGCTATCCACAATTCATCAGGCACCTCAAGCTGCAAGTTTTTCAGAGGGCTGTTTTGGTTACAGGTTCTTAACTGCTGCTCATCTCCTGCTGATATTGCACAAAACCTGCCAAAAGCCTTCTTTTGTAGATAGAAATGAATCTGGATTAGTTTCCAGACATTCTGTCAAGAAATTATACAGCACATAAGCTCCAAAAAGCAGGTTTTGTTTCCATGGTCGTTTCAGTGCAGGCATTTGTCTACTTTTATCCACATATGGTTGGCTTTTCAGAAAAAAATTCAAATAATTCAAATGCACATTTCAAATGAGAATGCTTAACAGTCAGGAAGAGTTGCTTTATTTTACTCAGGGCTTCTAGTGGTTCAATGTGGCTGTACACTTTGCTTTTGTGTTGCTTAACATCAAGAGTAATCTGAGAGAGAAATAGGTAGGCTTAGCAATTTTCACTTAATTTAGCATTTTTTTTTAATTATGTGTATAGTCTTAAATGTAGATGTTGATCTTGGTATGGGTGGGATGCGAATTGATATGCTCATCTGCTAATTTAAATGGTAATGTTAATGTGAATAAGTGAATATCTTAGCCTCACACTGTTTAGTAATCTGCAACATCCAACCCTTTTATCTCTTTTTTTTTCCTCTGTAGCACTGCAGCGATAACACCCATCATTGCCAATCAGATATGAACATAGTAGGTGCTTGGAAGAGAGGCTACACTGGAAAGAATGTTGTGGTCACCATCCTGGATGACGGCATTGAAAGAAACCATCCAGACTTGATGCAGAATTATGTGAGTCCACAGTAGTCCGGATTTGCTGCTTTATGTACACTCTGCAACAAATTTGCTGCTGATAGAGCGATGAACATGTTCTAGTGGCTGGAGGAAAAGGGAGGAGGGAAGGAGGGGACTGATATGACCATTTCCCCAAAGGGTAACATCAATGGGAAGAAAACGTTCTTCTAGGAGAAGAATTTTTGGTAATCTGTGCTCTTATTTTAAGACTATGCACAGTCTGAATGTCTTTAATAATCTGGATGTCTTTCATAACTGAGTCCTGCATTTCTAAAGGGCTGTAACCAATCATCTGAAGTTCCTTCTCTTCTCTGTAATTTTTTTACTTAATATGCACATACTCTCAGAATTTAGGAATGGAGTATGATGCTTTTGAGTTAATCCATGCAATTGAAATCCATTTTTGGCCAATATATTTAGCTTGCAAGACAGCAGATCTTCTCAAAATGCTGTAACTTTAGGCATACCCTCCTCCTTTTTTATTTTTAAAGTTATTTTTCTTATTGATAGAAATAATATTAAAGGAAAATAACATGACTTGTTGTGAGTTGCAAAGTTAAGAATGGGTAGAATGATTTTGAGGGTTTTTCTAGTAAATCTCTGTTAACTCCAGGGAGTCCCCCCCCACAATTTGTATTAGGAGGAGAAGTGTCTCTTTGTGTATCATATATTTCCTATAGCCTCAGAATGTTTCTCTCTGTGTTTGTATGATTGGTTTAATATGCCTTGGGAGGACTGCATAACATAGGCAGAGGCTGCCTCTCTAGTAGGTGATTTCCTGATTTAGTGTCACACTTTGAAGCTGTTTACAGTGTCAGGGCTGTGCTTTGCTGGAGTGATCAAGCATTCTCATACTTCAAGAATAGGCATTACCTGTTGATAGACACATGACCTTGAGAACCTTATTATTTCTCTGAAAATGGAATGTGCAAGCTGTATGTTCACAGAAGATGAGAAAACGGATACATTCGGACTGAGTCAGATTGGTGAAGATGAACTGGGCAGTTGTATATCTTCATGCCCCAAAGAGACGTAGATCTTTCACAAGAGACTCATGTTGAGCAAGGATTTGTGTCATATTGACATAACGTCACATTGACATAATGTCATATTGACATTGCATTCAAGAGATGAAGAGGATGATAACATCATTAGCAACCCATCAAAACTGCAATCATGTCCATAGTTTTAAAGACGCTTATTTTAAGTCACCCACACATATCTGTATCCTGCATGTGAAACTAAACTTTAAAACAGATGAGGACTGCAAAAACATTAATGAGAGGATATTGTCTCGTTTGTCAACATATGCCTAGTTTGATTTTACGCTGCATCTACTGAAGTCATATAAACCAAATATACCAAGCTGAACCAAATATGCTTTTACTTGCTCACTGAATGACCCAGACTGTATTAGATGTCACTTCATCCTGGTACTATCCTTCCATTGAATTTAAAGCATCTATTTATTCCCTTACCACCTCCTCTTTCCTTTTCCCTGTGCCAACAAGGAATTCCCCCAGAGCAATACACATTGCTTGTTTGATAACAAATGCTTTCTATATGCTGGATTACTGCTGGTGTGTCTGCAAACAGGAATATTTGAGGTGGATGTGGTAATGGGTTTTGAACAGAGAGTGGGTTAAAAAGAACTGCTTACCATGTCAACACTCCACACACTACCACATCAATTAATGGGAGCCATACAAACCAGCAGCTATTTGCTCTATGAACTATTTTCAGCTCTACAAATCTTGGTAAATATAAAATATGGAGCAAAAATACACAGATATTTTGCATATATTTGAAACAGTTGTACACGCAGATAAGTGAGGGGATGTTTAGAGAGATGTCTTTTATTTTCCAATGTGAATGTAGTTGCATTTCAGGCTACACTTTAGTAAAATATTTGCAGTAAAATGTTATTATTTGTGTTCCTTGAAGCTATAAATACAATTTCAGTCTTCATCCTGTAAATAATTTCTGGCATCTTGAAACATTTAGCGAAGTCCAGATTTTGCAAATGAACACTCCTAATTTTCAAGTTTCATAGAAGGATTATAGTTTCTTGGCATAATAAAACACCTCTTTCTACTTCCTAACAGAGATTGGAACTGTGATTTCCAGGGCATTTGTTGTCCTCATCTCTTTTCCAAACAGGAAATAAAATGTCTAAATCCTGTAATTATAAAATATATAATCATTTCCTAATAAATGAAATCGTTAAGAAACTGCAGGAACATTAGTTAACCTAATTACTCTCTTATAGGAACCTGCTGAAGAATGTGTAGGTCAAACGAGTCAATGACTAATTAATGAGAAACTGGTTTTCTTTGTCCTGTTGGCTACAGGATTCGCAGGCCAGTTTTGATGTCAATGGAAACGATTTTGACCCGATGCCGCGATACGATGCCAGCAACGAGAACAAGTAAGACACTCATGACATTTTCTATGCAGTTCTTCAAATGGAATGTACCAATTCTGCTACAAAAGTCTAGGAAAATTGAGTCTTCATAAATCAGTGTGATCTGCATTTAAATCTCTGTGAAACATGTATTTATGTCTCTCCCATCCACATTGTATGACACTCTTTGAATGTATTTAGAGACGTCTGAGAATACATGAAATATAGTTTGAAAGTTCTGGGTATGTGAAGTGGACCATTTCTATTCCCCTTGGGATGCACAGTAAAGGGGGAGATACACCTTTTCTAGGTGTCGTCTCAGTGAGTTATTGGAGCTGTATTATGTGTGAAAACTGCCTTAGCTTCTGACTCTCCTGAGCTTTATAGACCTCGCATTTTGAAGAAATATGTTAATTAAGAAAGTTTTTACTCTCTAGCCATCTATTTAAAACTCTAATGGAGATTTAATATACAGAACTTTGCAAGACACCAAAGAGCCCTGAAATAGCAATTCTTTCAGTTTGTAATGTCCAAGACTGGTTAAATGTATCTGTATAAGTGTGCTCTACTTCTGCATCAGATATTTGGTATGTGTCATTCCAACCCTACTCTTCTTTGGATATCCCGTGGCAAAGACTGAGGGAAAAACTGGGAAGAGACATCTCAACTTAGGAAGCATGGGTACCTGACGGCAATTGTTTGTCAGTTAAATTTTTAAACATCTTACTAGTATTTGAGGCATTAAAATCCAGCTGGTTGTCAAAATGCCACCTGTGCACTTTGTTTTACTGGTTTTTTTCAAGGAAAACACCGAGTATTACTTGCTTGCAGAAGACAGACAATGAGATGAAATCTTTTCCTTTAGCAACTCAGATTATTTGGAGTTTGTGTCCTTCCTCCCGTATGGTCCGGCAGACATTCTCCAGAATAATACAGCTCTTCTGAGCTAAATCACTTGGAAGTTAACCACATAACTTTACATTGGTTTGACTGGAGAAACCAACTGCACCAAGCTTGGAGCAAGTTTAGATAGGAGAATACATTCTTTGTCAATTCCTTCTGTCTAACAGGAGGAAAAATACATGAACAGGCTGAAGATCAGAAGCACGTTATGCGTATCTGCTTGCTAAATATAGCTTCCTCTGTTCTACAGTGAATCTTGGGGAGCTGTCATAGCTACCTTCAGCCATAAGAAAACTGAAAACTGAGGTGAATTCAGCCAAATTATTACTTGTTCAAATCAGGCCAATTCTAGATAAGCATTGGTAAGCCAGGGTGAGAACTATGTGAGGATTTAACTCAGGGTGAGAACTATGTGAGGATTTAACTCTTAAAAAAAGGTATAGTTACATATATATTCACACACACAAATCTAAGTTGTGATAATTAAGAATATTATTTAAAATAAAAATGCATTATACCAGCAATATTGTGGTTGCAATCTTAGCATATGTTCCTATTCAGTTCTTCTTTTATCCTATATAAACGCTGCCAAATATTTCTGTCTAGAAACAAGTACATGCAAGAACTATTTCTTCTCTTCCCTTTTGCCTGTTAGGCATATCATTCTCATTCTATTTTCATACAGAAGCTCAGTTTACTGAATTATGTCTGCTTCTTTTGTACTAGAAATCTCCCAAAGCAAGAATGAGAAATTAAGTAAAACTCTTCTCTTTGAAATGCATAAACATACTGCACATATAGGTTAGTGTAACGTTTAGCAAAAAGAGAACACTGATGGAGAATGAGTGGTGGAAAGAGCCAGTTGCCACATTGACTCAGTTAAGTTAGTGACAAGCCAAGGATTTCAGACCCATGTTCCCGTAAGGAAAATGCTCATGCTGTACTAAAGCTGTCAGGAAATATTCCCAAGACTCTGTTCAATGAAACAGAAAAATAAATTAAAAAGTATGTCAATTCTTGCTCTTTTCAAACTGTCTTTTACTTCTCTTACAGTTGAGGAATTTCATTTGCTTTTCTTAGAGATAGCCAATAGCTGTCACAGAGATGTCAGAATCAGTAAATTTATTAAAAATTTGTTCTTATTAAGGGAAATCTTTCATTTAGCTTATGTTATATCACAGGACTGTTGGCTAAGGTTTTAAACATATTGTTCACTGGAAAACAGAGTAGAAACATAGAAAAATAAATCACCTATAGCCTTAAGCACAGAGGCATTGCCAGTCTGCCTGCTGAAACACCTGACTTGTGCATGATTGACCATTTAAGCACAAGCCCGAGGCTGAAATTAGGTTCTTGTGTTTTTGCTTTGTGGACACATCCTGACTCATCTGTGTGAAGACAT